TCTTCCACCTCCGCAACATTGCCCGCCTCCGCCCCTGCCTTACCCAGTCAACAGCCGAAATTCTCATCCACGCATTCATCACCTCCAGACTCGACTACTGCAACAGCCTCCTCTACGGACTTCCCACCACTCATCTCCAAAAACTGCAATACATCCAGAACTCTGCAGCCCGTCTCCTCACCCACACCCGGTCCAGAGAACACATCACCCCTGTCCTCCAGCAGCTCCACTGGCTCCCCGTTCAATACTGCATCCATTACAAGCTCCTCCTCCTCACCTACAAATCCCTCCATAACCTGGCCCCGCCCCCTACCTTACTGAGCTCCTACAGCAGCACCAACCCAGCCGCCGCCTTCGCTCAGCCGATTCCAACTTCCTCACCCCCATCACCCGCACTAACCGCCGAACCTTGGGGGACAGAGCTTTTGCCATTGCCGCCCCAACCCTCTGGAACTCACCCTCACTGCTCATTAGAAACTCTGACTCACTATCAAACTTTAAATCAGTACTCACAACCCATCTTTTCACACAAGCTTGTCCGTAAACCCCTTTTTATTATTGTATTCTACTCCCATGTGAAGCGTCTTTGAGTGTCCAAGAAAGCGCTATACAAGTTTGATGTATTATTATTATTATTATTACTGTAGAGAAAGAGAGAGATACTCACACACACACATACAACAAAGAGAAAGACACACACACACACATAGAGAAAGAGACATATATACACAGGGACACACGCACAGACACACAGAAAAGACACATGTATACACAAACATACAGACAGAGAGAGCGAGAAACACACACAGACACACACAAACATATACACAGGGAAAGACACACACACACACGCAGAGAGACACACAAAACCACTCACAAACACAATGGATTATATCTGTTCCTTAATCCTGACATTCTCCTTTCCCATCCGGCCTCTCATTCCACCACACACGCACAAACACACACACACACACAAACACACAAACACACACATACAAACGCACTTTCCCAGGAGAAACTTCTTCCTGTCCGCGAGACCAAAACCGAACGGCTCTAGTCTCGCTGATATTATGGGCCGACGACTCAAGGTCTCTCTCGCTCAGCTCGCCGCGGTTGCCATGGCGACGGCCCCTGGCTCCCACTCGCTCTATTCTCGCTGTGCTCGATGCCGTGTGAGCTGGAATACACTGTGAAAGAAAAAAGAAAGAAATATGAGAGAGAGCGAGAGAGGAGGTGATCGCAGCTACACCCGCGAGCACAAAAGCCGTCAACTCAACACGTGTTAATCAAGAGCGATAATTCTCTCTCAGACAACAGAGATCAGGACTGGATAATTAGGACGTCGTGGGGATTGACAGAGGGGCCTTTGATAAAACTTTGCGCTTCCGGATTGTGAGACGGGGGCCATGTCAGGAGGCCGTGATTAGCCGCGAGCAGAGACAATGGAGGTAATAGCAGGGTTGTCAAACGAGAGAGTCAGGGAAGAGCCACATCGTCAGCAGTTCAAGTTCAAACTCAGACAAAAGAAAGAATCTGTCACATGCATTTTATACTTAGATTATATAAGCTCAGAGGCTACATCAAGACAATGGGTCTACAAGATGTCTGTACCTGGTCTCTCACAGATGTCTGCCCCTGGTCTCTCCAACATGTCTGCCCTATGTCTCTCCAAGATGTCTTCCCCTGGTCTCTCAAAGATGTCTGCCTCTGGTCTCTCCAAGATGTCTGCCTCAGGTCTCTCCAAGATGTCTGCCCTGGTCTCTCCAAGATGTCTGTCCTGGTCTCTCCAAGATGTCTGCCCCAAGTCTCTCCAAGATGTCTGCCTCAGGTCCCTCCAAGATGTCTGTCCTGGTCTCTCCAAGATGTCTGCCCCAAGTCTCTCCAAGATGTCTGCCTCAGGTCCCTCCAAGATGTCTGCCCTGGTCCCTCCAAGATGTCTGCCCTGGTCTTTCCAAGATGTCTGCCCCAAGTCTCTCCAAGATGTCTGCCTCAGGTCCCTCCAAGATGTCTGCCCTGGTCTCTCCAAGATGTCTGCCCCAAGTCTCTCCAAGATGTCTGCCTCAGGTCCCTCCAAGATGTCTGCCCTGGTCCCTCCAAGATGTCTGCCCTGGTCCCTCCAAGATGTCTGCCCTGGTCTCTCCAAGATGTCTGCCCCAAGTCTCTCCAAGATGTCTGCCTCAGGTCCCTCCAAGATGTCTGCCCTGGTCTCTCCAAGATGTCTGCCCCAAGTCTCTCCAAGATGTCTGCCTCAGGTCCCTCCAAGATGTCTGCCCTGGTCCCTCCAAGATGTCTGCCCTGGTCTTTCCAAGATGTCTGCCCCAAGTCTCTCCAAGATGTCTGCCTCAGGTCCCTCCAAGATGTCTGCCCTGGTCTCTCCAAGATGTCTGCCCCAAGTCTCTCCAAGATGTCTGCCTCAGGTCCCTCTAAGATGTCTGCCCTGGTCCCTCCAAGATGTCTGCCTCAGGTCCCTCCAAGATGTCTGCCCTGGTCTCTCCAAGATGTCTGCCCCAAGTCTCTCCAAGATGTCTGCCTCAGGTCCCTCCAAGATGTCTGCCCTGGTCCCTCCAAGATGTCTGCCCTGGTCTTTCCAAGATGTCTGCCCCAAGTCTCTCCAAGATGTCTGCCTCAGGTCCCTCCAAGATGTCTGCCCTGGTCTCTCCAAGATGTCTGCCCCAAGTCTCTCCAAGATGTCTGCCTCAGGTCCCTCCAAGATGTCTGCCCTGGTCCCTCCAAGATGTCTGCCCTGGTCCCTCCAAGATGTCTGCCCTGGTCTCTCCAAGATGTCTGCCCCAAGTCTCTCCAAGATGTCTGCCTCAGGTCCCTCCAAGATGTCTGCCCTGGTCCCTCCAAGATGTCTGCCCTGGTCCCTCCAAGATGTCTGCCCTGGTCTCTCCAAGATGTCTGCCCCAAGTCTCTCCAAGATGTCTGCCTCAGGTCCCTCCAAGATGTCTGCACCTGGTCTTTCCAGCATGTCTCTCTATCTTTGGGACCTGTGGCAGCCATCTTGGAGAGACCCGGTGCTTGACTGTAACCTACAGTTGTAACCATTTACTGGTCATAACATTTATGTAAATGAAAGAGTGATGTGGCTCTATAAACGTGTGGCCCTGTGTGCATGAAGCAAACTTATCAAACCGATACTTGGCGTGATTTCCGTGTCCGTGCCTCTTTCCCCTCGTCACGCTAATGAACTGTCACTGGGTTTTGCACCAGCGGAATAAATTAGCAAGAAAGGCCGATTTGCGTGTTGATTTCAGCCCCAAACCCACACCTTTCTCTCATTAAGAGTCGGGGACATGCTCCGGTTTGCCTCACACGACACTACAACACTCATCCACTACCACCGCCATGTTTTAGATCAAATAAGCGTTTTTTCTTTGTCCTAATTATGTAGATCTGCTTTTTTCTCACTTGGATGTTACAAAGTGAACTTGTAGTTTTACTTCTGTCCATGATGATGAAACCGAGGGCTTGGAGCGATTTTGTCGAGATAAATAGATTTCATTATTTCTTGGGTCAGAAGATGTTACCTTTGTGTGTGCTGCAAAAGGCGCCCCCTGGAGGATCAAAAGAGAGACAGAGGTAAAGGAAAATAACGCACTGATTTTTATTTTGTATTTTTTTCCGTTCTGTTACCATGGAAACTGGAAAGAATGAGGTCTTGATTTTGTAGGCCAAAGCAAGTGCCTGTTGTGAAAGGTCGTGCTGGTAAAACAAACTATGACTCCGACTGGATTCCACTCACTGGTGTCTCTCTCTCTCTGGTCTCTCTCTCTAGTCTCTCTCTTGTTTTTCTCTAGTCTCCCTATGGTCTCTCTCTATACTCTCTTTGCTCTCTTTCTATGGTTTCTCTCTCTCTGGTCTCTCTCTCTGGTCTCTCTCTTTACTCTCTTTGCTATCTTTCTATGGTTTCTCTCTCTCTGGTCTCTCTCTCTAGTCTCTCTCTATACTCTCTTTGCTCTCTTTCTATGGTTTCTCTCTCTCTGGTCTCTCATTTAAATCATACTGAGGGTGAAATACCAACATTCTTACTCTAAAGAGTTCCATGGACATGTATCGACTCGTGGCTCCTGCTGGTTGCAGCTTAGTGCAGCTCAGAGATCGATAGTTTTGAACCGAGGCAAAAGACGCTGCAGATGAAGAAGAAGAAGAAGAAGATGTACTGTATGTGGAGCTCGTCAGTCCCAGACCTGGAGCTGTGTTTAGATCCATCCACGCTGACATCAGGAATAAACATGTTCCTCTGCCCCTTCTGTCTTCATTTTCTTTCTTTGAAACAAAAGTAGAAAGACCTGAGAGGGACCAGAGAGAGACTAGAGAGGGACCAGAGAGAGACTAGAGAGGGACCAGAGAGAGACTAGAGAGAGACCAGAGAGAGACCAGAGAGAGACCAGAGAGAGACTAGAGAGGGACCAGAGAGAGACTAGAGAGGGACCAGAGAGAGACTAGAGAGGGACCAGAGAGAGACTAGAGAGGGACCAGAGAGAGACTAGAGAGAGACCAGAGAGAGACCAGAGAGAGACCAGAGAGAGACCAGAGAGAGACTAGAAAAAGACCAGAGAGAGACCAGAGAGAGACCAGAGAGAGACCAGAGAGACCAGAGAGAGACCATAGAGAGAGACCAGAGAGAGACCATAGAGAGAGACCAGAGAGAGACTAGAGAGAGAGAGACCAGTACAACACCGCAGAATAAGTTTGTTATATAAGTGAGAGAACAGTCTGTGATGTTTTTGCAGCAGAAACCTCGTCCTTAAGCGACACTTTTCAAACGGCTCTTGTCTCTGAAGCCGCAGCGCTGCTTTGCTAACGTTACGCTTTGCTAACGTTCTGCTTTATCTTCACTTTCAACACTTTCTGCTTCACTTCGGCCTCTGGTGATAAAAATGTGACTATTAAATCAATACCGAAGAGCCGCAGAGAGCAGTTCCAAGGTAATTACACACTTAGCTTACATAAAACATGGAACACAAAACACACATGAAGGACCTCTCATTCAGACGTTATATATAACCAACACTCACACCGAAGAGCTGCGACATCACACTGAAGACCTGGGACATCACACTGAAGACCTGGGACATCACACTGAAGACCTGGGACATCACACTGAAGACCTGGGACATCACACTGAAGACCTGGGACATCACACTGAAGACCTGGGACAACACACTGAAGACCTGGGAAATCACACTGAAGACCTGGGACATCACACTGAAGACCTGGGACATCACACTGAAGACCTGGGACATCACACTGAAGACCTGGGACATCACACTGAAGACCTGGGACATCACACTGAAGACCTGGGACATCACACTGAAGACCTGGGACATAACACTGAAGACCTGGGACATCACACTGAAGACCTGGGACATCACACTGAAGACCTGGGACATCACACTGAAGACCTGGGACATCACACTGAAGACCTGGGACTTCACACTGAAGACCTGGGACATCACACTGAAGACCTGGGACATCACACTGAAGACCTGGGACTTCACACTGAAGACCTGGGACATCACACTGAAGACCTGGGACTTCACACTGAAGACCTGGGACATCACACTGAAGACCTGGGACTTCACACTGAAGACCTGGGACAACACACTGAAGACCTGGGACATCACACTGAAGACCTGGGACTTCACACTGAGGACCTGTGTGTGTGTGTGTGTGTGTGTGTGTGTGTGTGTTTGTGTGTCTATCTCTGTGTATGTCTGTCTGTGTGTGTGTCTGTCTGTGTATGTGTGTGTGTGTGTGTCTGTGTGTGTGTCTGTGTGTCTGTCTGTGTCTGTCTGTGTGTCTATCTCTGTGTGTGTCTGTCTGTGTGTGTGTCTGTCTGTGTATGTGTGTGCGTGTGTGTCTGTGTGTGTCTGTCTGTGTGTGTCTGTGTGTGTGTGTGTGTTTGTGTGAGTGTGTCTGTGTGTGTCCAATTGATTTTTGCCAGTTTGTGTGACAAGCACTTATTAAAATAGGATTGAACAGTTTCTCTCTAGAGCAGAATAATTAATGAATTCTGTGAAAACAGAAACAGACGTGTAATTTATCAGTTTTTGGAATTATTTAAAAAGGACAAAAACACAGTTCTACTCTACTCTACTCTACTCTACTCTACTCTACTCTACTCTACTCTACTCTACTCTACTCTACCCTACTCTACCCTACCCTACTCTACCCTACCCTACCCTACCCTACTCTACCCTACCCTACCCTACCCTACCCTACCCTACCCTACTCTACCCTACCCTACCCTACCCTACCCTACCCTACCCTACTCTACCCTACCCTACTCTACTCTACCCTACTCTACCCTACCCTACTCTACCCTACCCTACCCTACCCTACCCTACCCTACCCTACCCTACCCTACTCTACCCTGCCCTACCCTACCCTACCCTACTCTACTCTACTCTACTCTACCCTACTCTACCCTACCCTACCCTACTCTACCCTACCCTACTCTACCCTACCCTACTCTACCCTACCCTACCCTACCCTACCCTACTCTACTCTACTCTACTCTACTCTACCCTACCCTACCCTACCCTACCCTACCCTACTCTACTCTACTCTACTCTACTCTACTCTACCCTACTTTGCCTTTACCATCGACTCCCACTATCTGCTGTCGTTGTGTCCTTGGCAAGACACTTAACCTCTGGGAACACCAGCCACAGTGGGGCGGCTGCAGCTGTAAAGTGCCAAACTGCTGTTGTGTCCTTAGGCAAGACACTTCCCCTAGACATTAGTGTGTGTGTGAATGGTTGGTGGTGGTCGGAGGGGCTGATGGCACAGACTGGTTGCCTCGCTTCTGTCAGTGTGCCCCAGGGCAGCTGTGGCTACAGTAGTAGTTTATCACCACCGTGTATGGAGTGAAAGAATAATGACACATGTGAAGCGTCTTTGAGTATCCAGTAAAGCGCTATATAAAACCGAGGCGTTATTATTATTATTATTATTAGTAGCAGAGTATAGTGCTCTGTACTAGGATAGACCAGAGTAGAGCAGGGCCAAACCGGGCCAGAGTGAACCTCTCTCACAGACTCATCAAATACATACAGTACATATATCTCATTACTCTCCGACTCTGCTCTGTGGTAAACAACATTCCTAGAGTCTGTTTTGACTCTGTCTCTCTCTCTCTCTCTCGGCGAAAACAAAACGTTTTTGTTTCGCCTCAGGTCGCGCCTCAGATCGCGGCCCCTGAATGTAAAGGACAGGTTGTTTGCTCGGATCCTCCTGATTCCCGGTCGGGCCTGTGAACCCGTCTGGTCCCGAGTGTCTTTGAACGCCACATCAAACGACTCCAGCCACATTCCAACACAATGAGTTCGAGCACTGGAGTTTCTTTGATGTGAGATTTCTCCGTGTTCCTTCCTATTTTTGCGTCATGTAATACAAAGTCCCCGTCTGTTGTTCGCGGCGGGAGACGATTAGAAGTGACAAGGCTTTTCTGAGCAGCGGTACGAATACGAGAGAGGAATTCTGCCTCAGAGAGAGAGAGGATTGTGTTTTCATCTGTGTGTGTGGTGCTGCAGAAGTGTGTGTACCTGTGTCTATATGTACCTGTGTCTCTCTGTGTCTTTATGTACCTGAGTCTCTGTGTCTATATGTACCTGTGTCTCTGTGTCTATATGTACCTGTGTCTCTCTGTGTCTATATGTACCTGTGTCTCTCTGTCTATATGTACCTGTGTCTCTCTGTGTCTATATGTACCTGTGTCTCTCTGTGTCCATATGTACCTGTGTCTCTCTGTGTCCATATGTACCTGTGTCTCTCTGTGTCTATATGTACCTGTGTCTCTCTGTGTCTATATGTACCTGTGTCTCTGTGTCTGCATGTACCTGTGTCTCTGTGTCTCTCTGTGTCTATATGTACCTGTGTCTCTGTGTCTCTCTGTGTCTATATGTACCTGTGTCTCTGTTTCTATATGTACCTGTGTCTCTGTGTTTTTGGCTGCACCTTCACCTGAGGACCAGCTCCAGGACCAGCCGTGGACCAGGGACCAGGAGAGGCGGGAGACCAGGAAGACTGGACTGAAAGGAACCAGAGGAGATGAGGTTAAAGGTGACGGTTCATGAAGGACAAGGCGGCCATTTAAATTTCCCTTCTGTGTTTTTAAAAGAATTAACGTAAAGAATTTTTTAAAATAACTCACAATAAGGTAAATACTTATTAGACTAGAAGGACCAGAGAGAGACTAGAGAGAGACCAGAGAGAGACCAGAGAGAGACCAGAGAGAGACCAGAGAGAGACCAGAGAGAGACCAGAGAGATAAATTGAAAGTGATTGAGGAGGAATATCTGAGTAGATTTTACGGCCAATTGATGTAAAAAGTATATTGTGTGGATCTGGTTTGACAGAGAGAGAGTCCTGAAGCTCCTTGTTCCAGGTTGATGTGACATTTATCTCCTTTTTATCAAAGTCACTGCGCCCTGAAGGCTGCAGCTGCTTTTCTCTGTCAAACATATATACCAGAGAGAGAGACCAGAGAGACCAGAGAGAGAGACCAGAGAGACCAGAGAGACCAGAGAGAGAGATGTGGTGACAGTTTTTGGAGTAATTACATAAAACCAGCCGCAGCAAATACACGGACGTCAAAGGCCTTTTATCAATGCAGAGACGCCCTTCTGACGCCATGCTGAGCTTTGTGAGGGCCCCCTGCTGTCTGTCACACCCTTGTGTCTTTCGTATCTTGAATCTGTATGCCTGCTTCTATCCATATGTCCCTGCTGCCAGGAAGGAGCCGGGCCCCCCCGACACCTACAGACAATGGCTATCACTCTTGCCCCCTTTCACCTCTTGCATATGTATCGGTCTGTATGTGTGCACTCTCTACATCCTGCAGTCTGTTTGCATCCCTATGCGCCTCCTGCACCGGTGGCCCCCCTCCCATCTGTTGTGGGCGGGACTGGCTTTCGTGTGTGTCTTGTATACAGGAAGCTCGGGGCTCTGGCCCCCAGAGCTGGGACATGCTGCCTTTGAGTGGATGTGCTGGCTCTCCGCACGTGCGTTAACAATAAACTTACGCTTTTGATCAGACAAAGGACCTTTGAGTTTTCTCCTTCATGGGGTATATAATTCTACAACAGAGACCAGAGAGACCAGAGAGAGAGACCAGAGAGACCAGAGAGAGAGACCAGAGAGACCAGAGAGAGAGACCAGAGAGACCAGAGAGAGAGACCAGAGAGAGAGACCAGAGAGACCAGAGAGACCAGAGAGAGAGAGACCAGAGAGAGAGACCAGAGAGACCAGAGAGACCAGAGAGAGAGACCAGAGAGAGAGACCACAGTGTACCTGTGCGATACATACATGTGCCATACATACATACACATATAAATCCTACATTGCCATCACCAACTAATTAAAAAGACGCCGCAGAAGCAACCGGTGGGACTTGACACGCTAGCTCCACGGCGCGCGCTAATTCACCTCTGCACATGCTAGCTCCAGACGCGCTTCAGCTAATCGCATCATTAAAACATCTCCAGATAAGGAGCTGAATGGACTATGATGCTCCGGAGTCTGCGAGTGTCTGAGTGAGAGAGGCCCCGTGATGGCAATGTAGGATTTATATGTGTATGTATGTACCTTAACGTGGTGGGGGAGTTTGAGTACTCGAATGATCCTGGGAGCTATGCTGTCTGGGGCTTCATGCTCCTGGTAGGGTCTTCCATGGCAGACAGGTCTCAGGTGACGAGTCAGACGAAGCTCAGTCCAAAACCCACCATGGATAGCACGTTATTGATAAAAGTCGCCCGGTATGGTGCAGTCGTGGCCCCACCCTGGAGCCAGGCCCGCGGTTGGGGCTCGTATGCGAGCGTCTGGTGGCCGGGCCAGGATCAGCCCGAAGGGATGACGTGGGCAGTCCGCACATGCAGCATCTGGCTCTTGGGACGTGGAACGTCACCCAACTGGGGGGGAAGGGGCCCGAGCTAATGGGGGAGGTTGAGAGATACCGACTAGTATCTAGATAGTCGGCCTCACCTCCACACACAGCTTGGGCTCTGGAACCTAACTCCTTGAGAGGGGTTTGATGCTCCAGGGGAGGAAGCCGGTCAGACTTGGCAGACCCAAGCGTGTAGTGAGGGTCTGCTGGGAACGTCTTGCTGAGCCCCCTGTCAGAGTCCGAGTGGACCATGTTCTCTTCCTCTATCAACGATGCGGCAGCGAGTAGCTGTGGTCGCAAGGTCTCTGGTGATGGTCCCAGCGGCAACCCCCGAACCCGGTGGTGGACACCGGCAGTAAGGGATGCTGTCAGGCTGAAGAAGGAGTCCTATCGAGCCATGATGGTTCGGGGGACTCCTGAGGCAGCTGTCCAGTACCGGCAGGCCAAGCGTGCCGCGGCCCGGGCTGTTGCAGAGGCAAAAACCCGGGACTGGGAGGAGTTTGGAGAGTCCATGGAGCATGACTATCGGTCGGCCTCGAAGAGATTCTGGCAAACCATCCGGCGCCTCAGGAGGGGGAAGCAGTTCTTTGCCAACACCGTGTACGGTGCGGGTGGAGAGCTGCTGACCTCGACCGGGGATATTGTCGGGCGGTGGAAGGAATACTTTGAGGTTCTCCTCAATCCCCCCGTCACGTCCTCCGTTACAGAGGAAGAGGCTGAGGATGTTGGGGCAGATACGTCCATCTCCCTGGCTGAGGTCACCAAGGTGGTTGGCAGCCTCCGTGATGGCAAGTCGCCGGGAGTGGATGAGGTCCGTTCTGACTATCTAAAGTCTCTGGATGTTGTAGGACTGTCTTGGCTGACACGTCTCTGCAACATCACGTGGCGATTGTGGGTGGTGCCATTGGATTGGCAGACCCGGTGGTCCCTCTCTACAAGAAGGGGGACCGGAGGGTGTGTTCCAATTATCGTGGGATCACACTCCTCAGCCTCCCCGGTAAGGTCTTCTTCAAGGTACTGGAGAGGAGACTACGGCCGATGGTTGAGTCTCGGATTCAGGAGGAGCTCTATACTCTCCATCGGATACTCAAGGGTTCATGGGAGTTCGCCCAACCTGTCCACATCTGCTTTGTGGATTTGGAGAAGGCGTTCGACCGTGTTCCCCTGGGTGTCCTTTGGGGGGTTCTCCGGAAGTACGGGGTCCGGGGTCCTCTACTGAGGGCCGTTCGGTCCCTGTATGACCGGAGCCAGAGCTGTGTTCGCATTGCCGGCTGTAAGTCAGACCTGTTCCCGGTGCATGTTGGCCTCCGCCAGGGCTGCCCTTTGACCCCGGTTCTGTTCACAGTATTCATGGACAGAATTTCTAGGAGCAGCCAGGGGCCGGAGGGGGTCCGGTTCGGAGACCACAGGACTTCATCTCTGCTGTTTGCGGACGATGTTGTCCTGTTGGCTCCAACGAACCAGGACCTGCAGCATGCACTGGGACGGTTTGCAGCCGAGTGTGAAGCGGCTGGGATGAGAATCAGCACCTCCAAATCCGAGGCCATGGTGCTCGACCGGAAAAAGGTGCCCTGCCCTCTCCAGGTGGGTGGGGAGGTCCTTCCTCAAGTGGAGGAGTTCAAGTATCTCGGGGTCTTGTTCACGAGTGAGGGAAGGATGGAGCGTGAGATTGACAGGCGGATCGGTGCAGCGTGCGCAGTGATGCGGTCGCTGTATCGGACCGTTGTGGTAAAGAGGGAGCTGAGCCGAAAGGCAAAGCCCTCAATTTACCGGTCAATCTTCGTTCCCTCCCTCACCTATGGTCATGAGCTTTGGGTAATGACCGAAAGAACGAGATCGCGGATACAAGCGGTCGAAACGAGCTTCCTCCGCAGAGTGGCTGGGTGCTCCCTTAGAGATAGGGTGAGGAGCTCGGTCACACGGGAGGAGCTCGGAGTAGAGCCGCTGCTACTCCACGTCGAGAGGAACCAGTTGAGGTGGCTCAGGCATCTGTCCCGGGCACGTCCCACCGGGAAAAGGCCCCGGGGACGCTGGAGGGACTAGGTCTCTCAGCTGGCCTGGGAACGCCTTGGGGTCCCCCCAGACGAGCTGGAGGAGGTGTGTGTGGATAGGGAAGTCTGGGCGTCTCTGCTTAGACTGCTGCCCCCGCGACCCGGCAACGGATAAAGCGGAAGAAAATTGATGGATGTATGTATGGCACATATAAACACCAACACCTTCTGACCAAAGTGAATCACAGAAACAAAAGAAAACATTAATACATATAAATATATGTAAAGAATAAAACAGAGAATAGAAACTAGAGAGAGAAACCAGGGAGCGACCAGAGAGAGAGACCAGAGACAAACCAGAGAGAAAGAGATCAGAGACAGAGACCAGAGAGAGACCAGAAAGAGAGAGATCAGAGACAGAGACCAGAGAGAAACC